CAATCTCCATCTTTTTCACCTCCGCCTGGGCATGCTCCAACATCATTTGTGGCCTGGATAGCCAGAAGGTAAAAGACAAGATTAACTCTAGAAATCTATGACAAGTCCATTACAAGACTATTATAATGACAGAAATTACATCTGTTAAAAGAGAAACCCTTGTACTCATCAACTTGCACCCCAATACCGGACCATTGAGTGTGAGCTCTTCAGCTCTTTGGAAGCCACAAAATGGGCTGGAACGTAATCCTTGGTGGAATGTGCGTCCATTAAAAGTATTTTGTTTTGCCAATGACGATGCTGCAGACACTGTAACAACTCTACTTGAACTACAGAGGTTCTTCAGTGGGCAAAAAGGTGATGTTCCTCACCTTGGACTTCACTTCGCTGTCTGCACCTCAGTGTACAATCAGTTAGTGTACATTTGGAAATGCAAACAATTGATTCACCTCAAAGTAATCACTCTGTTATCATGGAAACAAGACAGAACACCTGCAGTGATGAAAGGGACAGAGCTGTAATATGATGCTGAAGTCGTTCATGCAACATTTAATAAAATGTGTATTTATGTCGAGCTTCCACCAGTAAATGTGTGTCTTGATTAATAACACACTTAATGTGCACCACCTTCTCTGCAACAGAGACTTTGTCAAACCTATCCTGATGTCCAACATGTCCAACTGTTAGAAAAATGTACTATGCTTCAGTATATTAAACTTTTGCAAGCCTGTCTATAAATATAAAGAAGATCTCTCGCTCTTTCTCTCTCTCTCATGAACACCGCTTCTCAAACCTGTTGGAATATAACCCCACCCTGTCATTCTGTGGGAAACACTGGAAGTATATAGAAACGTAACTAGTTACTTTTATCACCCAGTAATGGTGCTACTGTCGCATTTCTGTAGTGTTACAGTTTAATCCTCGTTCATAGAATATGACGCTCTGCTGCCAGTGGACTTGTTCATGTCTGTGATTGGTCATCTGCTGCTAACACCGCCTCTTGAACGTGAACGTGCTCCCGGCTGGATTGGGAAACCCTGGGTTGACTTACCGAGTTGATAACCAGCTTCTTGGTACCGCTTATTCCGATCGCGATTGTTAAGGTTAGTTAAGCCAGATAACAAAACATATCTGGGTATGTTGAACTCGCTTCGCGGTGCAGGCCCCTGGCTACAGATTACGGTTGTTGTCATGATGTTGTCATACAGCCACTTTCCTACTGCTTTTTGAAATGGTCGGTGCCCCACCACCATTTTTACATATAAATATGACACTGGTCAAATCGGTTGTTAAAAAGTGGGATATTGCAAGAATACCTATCCTTGTTAACAAATGTTAACAAATAATTACACAACTCTATACAGACACGTTGTATATTTCAATTTGAATTTAAAGAAAAATATTTATGCTCCATGATGTCTGTAATCTTGAGTTGACTTGTTCCCAGTAAATGTTTTGTTCCTCCCCATCACTGCACTCCTACAAATAAATGCTTTTTAAGGAAAAGGTTAACTTGCATATTTAAAGAACAATTAATTGCCTAACACATATACAGATAACACATCAAACAGGATTTTTATGGAATGTTAACTGAACTGGTTTTAGTATAAGAATCCAAAGGATATCAGTCTGTGATTCCTTAACTCACATTTTATGTAGTATTCAACTAGTCTATATTGCATAATAGAAATCCTGAAATTCAGTTATGGCTTTTGGTTTAGTGTGCCACCCCCAGGATTTTCAGTGGCCCCATCTGGCCACCCCTGGGAAAATTTTCTGGGGGCGCCCCTGGTAGACGATGCTTCCAAGCTAACACTGATTAGCTCGACATCCTCCTCTTCACTTCTTGCTTTTTTGAAAAAGCTACACATTAGCGGGACATTTTTTATTGCAGCTGTTCATATTCATGTTAAACATGACCAAAGCTTCAAATAATGAGGTAAACGTATTTAAAAGAAATCCCTGTGAGACAAAACCTCAGATTTTCCTCTTGTTCTGAACGTTCTGTTTTAAACGGCTCGATATGATGTCATTCCGAGCCGGATGGTGGTGATGGCGCATAGATAAGATGCTTGCCTTTGGTGTGGGACCTGGGTTCGATTCCCACTGTGAGACATCCACCAATGTCTCCCTGAGCAAGACGCTTAACCCCTCGTTGCTCCAGAGGCGTGCGACCTCTGACATGTATAGCAGCTGTAAGTCGCTTTGGATAAAAGCATCAGCTAAATGAATAAATGAAAAAATGTAAATGTAAATATGGTAATTTGCTCCAGGCAGAGAATGCTGACCACACCCACAAAGGAACATGCAGCCCCATCCCTTCACATGGTAAACACATAAGACAATGGCCAACCAGAAGACAGAAGACAGGCTTTGCTTCAAAGAGACAGGAGCACCTACAGCTTGTTTCAGACAGATGCTGAAATGAGGGCCTGCATGAAGGGCCAGTATAAGATAGAAAATTCTTTTTTTGAACTTTGAATCATGCAAAGCTGCCATACAGGAGTCACAGAACTACAATATAGGACTGGAAATGCATTATAACAGGTCTCCTTTAAATAGCAATGCACCATGGTACAAGCTCACCTGCTTTTAAAGGGAATGGGAGATGACACTGATTGGTTTATTGCATGTGACGCCCCAAAACACACCCATGATTAGAGACTACGTACAAATCTTTTGAACCATGTTCTCTAGCAAACCCTGTAAACTAGCAAAAGTGGATTCAGAAAAACTACACAGGGACCTGCACCATGCACTTCACGTCGCACGCTTAAGGATTTTAATGGTCACAGGTAAGTGAACCTAAACTATAATGTGGTATGCTGAACTTGAGCACTCACTCTTTCAACACACACTGGCAAAGAAAAGCTAACAAGCTACAAGTGTCATCTCCAAAAGTAATGAGCGCCAAAAATGTCTGAAACCTTTATACATTACATTACATTAACTTGATTCGTTGAGAATAAAGATTTTTGTTGAAGCTGCAACATTAACACTTGAGCTGACCTGTCTTCACCTCAGCTGGTGCAAAAAGCTTTGTTTCTTTGCATCGATTACATTTGGCATTGCTTTCAGTCTGAACAAAGAAGGATTCCAAATCATCTTCAGTAATAGAAAACAAAAATGTAGATAGCAGGACTACTACTTTACATGGAATATTTGCACTCCTAACATCTTTTGGGGCAACACCTTCAATCACAGGAACAATGAGAGAAAGCAGATTAATAAGTTTTATTACCTGAGTTGTGAATTCCCAATATATTTATCCTTAAGAAATATTCACAGACAAAGACTTGGTGATAAAGGAAAATTTTATTTATAACTAAATGTTTTTAACAAGTGAATAAAGTAAATTAGGTTTTAATAAGGGTTATATGATGTGTTGACAAAAAAAACTCCGGAGATGACGTGGGCAGACCATGGAATAATAATGCAGACTTGTATCTGCTTTCCTTGTATCTTCTTTCCTTGTATCTGCTTCCCCTTGGACATATTATCCACAAACATGGCATTTCTTTCATATTTATGCTGATGACACACAAATATACTTGCCCGTCAGATCCACAGACCCTGGAATGCTGAGTTCACTTAACAACTGCCTTTGTGAAGTAAAAAAATGGATGTCAAATAATTTCCTCCAGCTGAACTCAGACAAAACAGAAATCCTGGTCATCGGGTCCCAGCAGATGGCAAATCAAATACTGCCATCTGCTGGTTCCCTAGTAAATCACATTAAGCCTGTGGCAAAGAACCTTGGTGTTTGGTTTGATAGTAATTTAAATTTCGAGCAGCACACCACAAAACTTGTTCAATCATGTTTTTATCAACTTTCAATCTATGTTAACTTTTAAGGACACCGAGACCATTTTACACGCCTTCATCTCATCACGCCTGGATTATTGCAACAGCCTTTTCACCTGTTTAACCCAAAAATCTACTGATCGACTCCAGACTGTCCAGAACTCAGCTGCCAGGCTTTTAACCAGAACAAAGAAATATGACCACATTACTCCTATTTTAGCTTCATTACACTGGCTCCCAGTATGTTTTAGAATTGACTTTAAAATTCTATTGATCACTTTTAAAGCTCTTCATGGCCTCTCGCCTTGTTATATTTCTGACCTTTTAGTCCCATACGCACCAGCACGTACCTTGAGATCCTCGGGCAGAGGTCTGTTGTCTGTTCCAGAGTCTCGACTGAAAACTAAAGGGGACAGAGCGTTTGCTGTCAGGGCCCCGAGGCTCTGGAACAGCCTGCCCGAGGAAATCAGGTCGGCTGAGTCAGTGAACTCTTTTAAGTCCCTTCTTAAAACATACTTTTATAGGAGAGCCTTTCCCGATCTTATTTGACTTTATTTTATCCCTTTTATTTTATTCTATTTTACTTATTTTATATTTTAGTCTTTTCAATGTTTTCTTGCTTTTATCTTGTATTGTTTTTGTATTATTGTCTTTACACTTGTGCTCTACAAATAAGATTTTTTATTATTGAAGAGTAATGTAGTGGTAAAGAAACATAGGTGAAAGAGGCCGGACCACCATCAGATAGGGTGCGTATTGGAGGAGGAGGAAAGGTTTTCACACTCAAACTGTTTTACGCCTCGTAACTAATCATCTTTCTTTGTGGTTTCTTCTACGTTATGGAACTATATAATTTAACATGTCTCGCACAGTCACATCATAAAAACAGGGTTGACGTCGAGCATCCATCACAGACATGTTATATAAACCTAACTTAGATTTCAAACACAGTTAATAATAAGCTTCCTAACCACTTAACTATCAGAAGCATAAATTCAACACTACTAATAAAATGGTAGCAGATTCAACACTTAGTTTGATCACACATATACTAACTCATCTTACACAAAACAACAGAAACGCAGTGATGACAAGAATCCCATTAACTGTTAAACTTCTAACTTCTGATTACCTAAAACTTTATGCGAAAATCATCAGAATTGCGCCAACCATCAAAAAGCAATCAAGTGAGATTATTACTGAACCAGTGACTGTACATTTATTTACACTTGGGTTAATAAAACTCATCTCAAGGATTTATGTCCTTCTGCTGAGTTTCATATCCGACTTCCCCAGAGAGAGAGTGGTCATCTGGGACGTCCCAGAGAGATCAGAGAGGAAGGGCTGACGGCTCCTAAAGTCCCTACATTTTATTTACCAAGTGATATTATGAGCACTTGGCAGATTAATGGACGGTAAGGAAGCACTTCTTCCTCGCAGTGCTAGTGGAATAGTGCCAGCAGCTGAACGGTGAGTTTTAAATATTATTTTACAGGTTTGAGATCTGAAGTGTATTAAAAATGTACAAAAATTCAGTTCATTGACACTTGTTTACGAATTCATAATAACATCAGTAGAAACAGTTAACACATTAACGCACATGCTGCTCAGAATATAAAGTTACTGTTGTCTATCTCTCAGTTTAAAGAGAAGCTCACAATATAACACAGCATGAGGAGGAGGCAGCAGGCAAGAGCTAGCTTGGCTCTGAAAAATGTTTACAGCGATGCAGCGTGACCGCATTGGTGCCGTTTCAGGGTTTTACTGTGAGTAAATGTTTTCCCACACTGGGTCACAGCTGTACGCTTTCTCTCCAGTGTGAGTGCGCATGTGAATTTTTAGCTCCAATGATCGGGTAAAATTTTTCCCACACTGCTCACACCAGTATGGTTCCTCCCCCATGTGAACATATTTGTGACTTTTTAGATTACTTAAAGTAGAGAAAACCTTCCCACACTGGTCACAGCTGTACGGTTTCTCTCCAGTGTGAACTCTCCGATGATTCTTTGACTGTCCAGATGTTCTGAAGGATTTGTCACAGTGGTGTTGTTTAAGTCCATCTCTTCCTCTCTGTTTCTATAATAACAGACATACAGAGAGAAAGACGGTGAGTGAGATGTAATGGTGCAGCAAGTATGGAGGATAAATCCAGGTCAGTCTCTCTGTGTGACACAGACAGAGAAAGTGAACCCACAAGGTTCAGAAGGCAGAATTCATATTTAGAGATAAGGTTTAGTTAAGATATGATTACAGCTGTAGAATATGTGTGTTTGTACTTTTGTTGTCATATTTTCATGCAGATAAGAGGTACTTTGATTTAGCGTTAAAGCAAACACACACACACACACACACACGTACTGACTTCTGAAAAACTAGAAACCAGATGTTTTTCTGTTAGGTTGGGTTTCCTTGGACTCTGGCCAACATGTGAGGAACAGGATGAAGCGATCTCGTTGGAATGTGCACTAAACTACTTTTCCGGCCAAGTTCTCAGAGTGATTCATTGTAGGTTCAGAGATACTGACTGGACTGGACCAAATATGGAGAGGACGTCCTGGAAAGGGAGGGCAGTACAGAGTGTGCTTTGGGAGGACTGTGAAGAGCTTGATTTTCAGGACTGCATCACTTCATTCTGCAGAACAGTCAAATAAAGAAATCTTAAAGCTGAGTCTGTGAATTATTAAATATTCTGAATAAACACTAAAGAGAAAAATTCAGCTCCAAGATACTGCTACAACTTGGGGCTGCAGTCCTTTAACTACTAAACCTTCCAAATGTTTGTCTCAGTTTGCTTCTCTCTGTCTTTCTGTATCTTTCCTTCCTTCTTCTGCCCTCCTTTCCATGTAGCCCTCACTATGTTTTGCTCTCTATAGAAAACACACTGACAGTACAGATTTAGCGCCTCAGATTTGTTTACAAAGTCCCAGCAGGTCCAGCCGGACTCACATCTTTTCCTAGTAGTCCTACGATGGGGAAGTTTCTTTTTTGGATTTTCAGACAGAGTTAAAACTTAAAATGTCTGACAGCTTTCACAACAAGAGGAGCAAAAGCTCAGCAGTAAGTTAACTTTCCCTTAAGTGCAGAACTGGAAGCTAACTTCAGCGTCCTGACTCAACGGCGATCTGGACTCAACAAATCCCTCATCCTGTTGCCCGTACAGGCTGGATGTCAGCACACACACAGATTAAAAACCACCAGGGCACAAATCAGAGCGACCGCATGAACTTCTGCAGTAACATCCCCAGTTCATGTGGCAACCAATTAAACTGTCACACTGGTCCCAGAGCCAGGTACTCACCCCGGTGCTGACTTCCTGGCTGGTCCGGTCCCGGTCGCTCTTAGCAGGAACTCTCTGTCGGACGCTCATCCTCTTAGACGCTGCTGCCGCCATCTCGTCTCTATCAGACTGGACCCAGGAGCATGCGCTGCTCGTGCAGACTCTGTAGTGATGGGAGTACCAGCTGTTTGAAGGGGGGCGGATCTTTAGAGGTACAGAGCTACTGAAATGCAGTTTGCATCTAACCAGGAGTGCAGAAATAGTGTTTTTACAGATGAGTGCAGTCCTGCTATATCTTACAACATGTAGAGGAGTTACACAGATATTATAGAGAGAAGAGAAGAGGACAGGGTTAGAGAATGGAGAGTGCAAATCTGGGTTTCTGGTAAGGATGCAGAGTAGAACATTTGTTGGTTAATGTACAGTAACATAATTAAACAGTGTATCAATCAATATATTTGTCCCCGTAGGAAAGTTAGTTTGCAGCACAATCACATGGCATTTCATCACACGGCACAGAGACAACCAGCAGGCAGACTGAAACACACACCCCTCACCTTGCTACAGATTAGGCAGAGCAGCTGAGCCTCCGGGCTAAATGCCTTACCTGTTTAAAAACGTAATGTTTTTATGTACAAATAAAAATGTAGGTCTTGATTTTAGTGAGTAGTGGGAGGCAGTTCAAAAGAGGGGTCAGGGTTGTGTTTGACAGATTGTACAGGCTTTCCGTTGATAAAAGTAGAATAAGGTGATTGCAAGGGGCCCCTGCAAAGAAGACTGCAGCTGTGAGGAATGTGAAGGTCATCGTGTGACACGGCACATAAACTTGGAGTGCTTGTGTTGATGTAGTTTTATGCATTTGCAGTAATTTGTCTTATTAGTGTCACATTTCAGTCTTTAGACGTGTTGTAGGGTAGAATACACTATTGTTTCAATATTGACTATGTGTGGATGTGGAGGTGGAGGAGGTGGGTCTGACCCTAAGACCCTCAAGAGGAGGAGAAAGGCAGGATATGTCTGCTCAACTAACAACTAAAGCAGATACTTGGCCTCGGCCCATCGCCTATTTGAACAAACCTTAAAGATACCGATTTGATTTATGTTTCATCTCACAGCACAACAAACCTGTAAAGTATTGGAGACAATCACCTGGAGCCTACCTGGAGAAACCTGGAAAAGATGCGGCAGCCTCACTGAATGACGTGAAGGGAAAGTCATGAGAACAAAAACTGATCCTTGTAACTATTGGCCTACTGTACAGTTTTTAGTTGTTTCCATCAGTGACTGGTTGAAATGTCTTTTACTGGCATGTGTCCTGTGTGACACTGTGTGTAGCAAAGGGTTGTGAAGTGGTGAAAAAAACTCTTAATATAGACACACTTCTTCAAACAACAATAACATGGAAACATGTTTAAAGAAAAAGATTGCTGGGAATCATATACTTATTTTTATGGTTGTGAAAAGATATATAAAAACAAAGTATACTTTAAATAACCAGGTTGCAAATAAACCACAAACATCAAACAACAAATGAAATTAACAGCATTAAATAGATCTGGATCAATAACCAGGTTTAAAAACAGTTGAACACACAAACCAGTCAAACCTTTAAATACACTCGTGCTGCCACCTGCTGGTAGAGAAGGGAAACATTTCACTCAAACAACAGCCTTTAGAGTGGAAACCAAATTAAAAATCAGTGCTGACAGTAACAACTCTGCACACACAGAAATGACTGAGGTTAAACTATCTAAGTAACTGTGCTGCACCAACAATGCGCTCTTTAAACGGGACTCTTGCTGTGTACGTGAATAAATGCACAATATTAAAAATGTATTCAACTACGGTTGCTAACAATTTTCCCTTGGTTCCCAGTTTGTTTGGTGTTTCTTCTAATGTTATCCTGATATTGTGCTTTCATGATTAATATTATATCTATTTCTTTGAGCCATGCGAGTATCTGAAACAAAGAATTTCCCCTCTGGGATCAATAAAGTGTTCTGATTCTGATGATTCTGATAATGTTACAGCTGCTCTATAACTCCTGGCTTGTATTTTCATATATTTACTGGTATAAACCGGTTCTCTTGTTTTTTGATACAGTAACCGAGAGCGGAAATATGTTTTCTTTATTTTTGGTATAATGAACTGGACCCTTGATAATGTTGACTTCTTCCTTCTCCTTCTCGGACACAAGTTGTTCAGGTTGTTCACCTTCATCACAAAGGCCGCATGAGACTCCCTTGGTTCTACATATGCAGACAGAACAGATGCACTTTATTTATGAACTGATAAAACATGTTTAATCTATAATAACACATTCAAATCATATAATGTTCCATTAACTTCACAGATGTGGACGAGCTGATCGACCGCTTCAGGGTCTCCGCTTTATTCTTCAGTATGAAACAGCCTGTGCTGAGTCCTGATCGTGAAGAGACAAAAAAGAAAGCATTTACTCTGCAGCCGACTTACTCATGGTAGAAGCACAACCGCCAAAACTCTCTGCTTCTGTTAATGTCTCCTTTTGAGAAAATGTGCAGGGTCAGAGTTCACGACTTTCAGGTTGTAATTTCCAGAAAGAAAACATCAGAGCAAAGCTCCACACATTAGGCCGGTCGTCATGGGAGAATTTGCTCAGGGCGTCCGCAGCGTCTCTACAACAGAGGAACTAGGTTAAGCCAGTTTGCATCTGGAGATAAGGTGCTTGTATTATTCCACCTCTAAATTACTCACCAGGTGGTAGAACCCCTGGCAGTCACACGGCGAGTGGGCCACATGGATTATGAGGTTGTGCGTTCTGACAGGGGAGGAGACACAAATTTACCTCCTCAACCTCCTAAAAGCGAGGCGGAACGTGTTTTCCTGCTGACGACAGTTACGGAAAGGGACGAGTTGGGGCCTGAGGTTCCAAAGTCCATTAATCCAACCTCACTCCTTCTTGACCATCTCACACTGGCCCAGAGAGCCGATGATGCTGCAGCAGGCCAGGACACACAAATCTCATCACAATCACAATAATATTTGATTCAGTCCGACTTTCACAAGAACAAATGTCGTCTGTAGTGTTTTTGTAGTCCCCGTTTATTCAGCGCCTCTCGCTCCTGACTATTCACTGGATCAAACCACAGCGGTTCAACCCAGAGAGCGTCTGTGAACAGAGACAGATGTTACCACCTGAAGACAACCACCTGTTATCATGTGACTCAAGTGCCATACTGAGGGCGTGTGATGGCAACTAAGCCTGATCCATCGAAGTTTGAAGTTTGATTGGACAAAACAAGTGTTTAGATGACATCATCTTGGACTTTTCTCAACAGCGACAGGCGTGTTTTTAACATTTTATTTACAAAGAAATACTAAATAAAACAGGCAGCAGCACTAAGTCAGCAGCGCTACAAATATTTAAGAATAAAAGTAAATTTAAGGTAATAAAAACCAAACTACATGAAAAAACAGATGGTTTACAAACAAATAATCAGCTCATTTGTTTAAGGCGAGACACTGCGTGAAGTGAATAGGGTAGAAATATTATGTCTAAATAAGCAAATGAGGCAGTATCTAATGAAATATGTGCTAATTTGCATCTAAATATGAACACTGGATTAATTCAGGTTCATCAACCCTGATAAATAAGTAAAAACATGTCTGAACAGACCGAGGGCCTCCTCGATGCTCCAGCCTGTGACCTGGAAATTGATCTCAGTGCATCTTGAAGAACATCTCAGTTCCTAAAATGCACCTCGAGGAGCAAGGAGGCACTTTGGGAAATGAGAAAGGCACCATATATAATGCACTCTGACCTCTGACGTTTCCCTCCTGGCTTTGACATCCAGAGTGTTACAGTATCGCTGACTCGTGGTAGTTACATCGAATGAAAGGGCTGCGGTAGCAAAGGGGTTCTTTGGTCCAAGCAATATTGATCACTAGTCATTGTATTGATCAATATTTCAATGTTTTAAGAACTTGATGTTATTTGTAACGTTTGTGTGGACAGAAACATGTAAACAGTAGATCTATAATACATGAACACCTCCTGGGTATAATTTATAAATTGTGTATTTGAGTTTCTTCATCAAATTTACAGTTCCAGTGTAGTCCAGGTGTAGCAGGAGATATTCAGTTGCATTAAACCTGCAGGAGGAGGTTTTGATGGTGATAAATGGTAAATAGATTTTATACAAGGCGAGGATGGAAATCTCATATTTTCCTTTATTTAGTCTGTAATGGTAACATAAATATTAAAAATAAATATTGTTGCTGTGCACAGGGAATTTCGTGTTTTATTGCCCGTGGTTGGAAACGCTGCGGGAGGCTCCCCTGCCCCTGATTGCCACGCCACTCTACGGACCAGTATGGAGGTCCCAACATATGAGCACCTGAACCAAGCATTGTGTCTGTCTTTAAACGACGTGGAAGCACAAAGTATACTACTTCACTCACAATAAATGCAGTAAAGTCATATCAGTGTGCGCTAGCTTGTATTTGATTTTTGGTGACATAAATATCTTCACTTATTATGCACCAAGCCGAATGGTTGAGGAGTTATTCCTGATTCTTTTAGGGTGTGTTATTTTAGGTCTTTGTCCTGGAAATTGGGGAAATTGCTGGTAGTTTAAGATAAAATGGTGCCTGATCATTAAGAGCTTTGTAGGTAAGTAGAAGGATTTTAAATTCTATTCTGGACTTTACAGGAAGCCAATGCAGAGAAGCTAAACC